GTTCGAAATCTGCTTCTAGTGCGAAAGGCTAGAAAATATAATCTTCAAGCAGATCTTTTTGGTGATAGTATTACGTTAGCCAGGTAGTATCGATATCCATTTGACAGCCAGTTTGGTCGGCTTGGAAAAAAGATACCTGTACATAAAGGAAAGCACAACTAAACGCCGAAAACGCGTCAAAAATACGCCCGAGCCTAAACCTCTGCTTGGAGATCAAGGAAAATAGCTCTTCAGAACAGATGGGTAAATATATTGATGTTTACAAAGTAGCCATAAGTGTAGTGTAAGCACCCGCGTTTTAAGAATGGCAGTCACGCTTGAACTATCCATTAACATTCAGACATAACGGAAAAAAGAGGCAAAACAACAAGCTCACATTTCAAGGTAGAAAAACATTAGAATTTAAGAAACCAAGAAATGTGATATTGGCTTGTCTGGTCATTCAAAAAAAAAACGGACAGTAAGAGGGGTTCTACAAAAACAATACTTTGTTATTGAGCAGCTGAAACAGTATGTTCTGAAAGACCCAGTCCCCCATATTCTATCATTACGATAACGATTACATGCATTTACACAGCCTTTGTTACAAAATATATCGGATACTATATACTATATGGTCTGAAATGATTCAGATGTAGGAAGAAACAGCAGCCAGTACTTTACCTACCGGGATTTGAGTTTGATTTTCTCAAGGAAACATGACCACTTCAACAGAGGTAAATGTGTACTCAGGGCAGGTGAAATGATTCTTGAAAAGGTCTCGGAAAGCCATTATGAGAGTTTCGAGAGCTTTTATAAGGACTCTTAACTGCTAAGTATTACTTAGGCCACAGCAGGTTGTTTTTCTGGATGACATCAGCGCGCGCATTGATTTTCGCCTGATTTTGAAAAAAAAGAAAACACATTTTTTGCCCTTTGACAGTGGTCAACATGCCGAAAAGATATGTCTGTTGCCATGCCGGAACTTCGATAACAGATGAAGAGAGGAGTCAAGACAAGGCTCTGATTTATTGTTTTTCTTTTACTTGTACTTTGTTTGCAGGTTTATGATCTCATAATTAAAAAAATATAGAAATCATGTTTTTTTTTGCCTACCTTGTTTTTCTTCGCCCTATCGCATTAGATTTGAAGTCTTCGGAGTATGTCATCCATAAAATTAACTTGCTGTGGCCTTACCTATATTTAAAAGCATGGTCGAAAACGCATGTTTAAAAGTTCTATTGATTCTTTGCTTCTTTCACAACAGCTCCTTTTTTCAGTCTCGTATGTCAGTGTGGTTCACTTCACACATTGTTCTAGTATAAACCGGGAGAATACATTTTACATCGAAGAAAAATTAAACAACATTTCAGATGGTAATTTTAGTAATGTAGTGACAGTACATTTTGTCTAAGCAATTGTCCTATAATCTCCAAACAGATTTCTTCGGAGCCACCCTGAAATAGGATTGGATGTCTTGAAGACATCATATTTCAATCATAATTTCCTTTCCATAACGTAACATCTACGTACACAATAATCTTTGTTTTCAAGCAGGTCTTTTTGTGGCTGCAAAACTGCATCAAAATTGGCAGGGAAGTATCCATTTACCACCCGACATGGTTAGCGAAAAAAAGATAACAGACTGAGTACAAAAAGTAGTAAAGAGAGTACCACACAAGGCTTACATCACTAGTATCCTTAGAGCCATGTTGGTGTCTCTGCAGAGCATGCGCACTAAGGCGCTCGACTTCCATCGCTGTCAGTAGATGCGAGCCACGTCTAGAGTCCCTGCGTTGCGCATGCGCTTTGTGTAGCGAGATTCCACTGGATTCGACAGGCTTTCGGTTTTTGCCAGAAACCGTCTGTAGTGGAAAACACAATACGAAAACCACTTCTAAAAAGACTACAGTTGTTTGTCATCAAGTACAACGATAATTGTGAGTAATCTTCCTCCCTAAAACGCCCATTGGTTTGTATATTATGTATTTTCTTCTTTATCCAAACACCGTATAACTTTTGGTAAGAATTACTTCGTATCGTCTTACAATTACTTCAAATATAAATTACTTCTTTATATATGGTGTCTGACGCTTAGGTCTTCCCTCGTGACCTCAATGAAAATCGATCTGCAGACCAGATTGACCTTCCCATGAATGGTTCAAACAAACAGACAAACAAACAAACAAACAAACAAATCAAACAAGCAAACAAACAAACAAACAAACAAACAAACAAAAGAGTACCTGTGGTTTAAGAGTGAAGGAAGCTTTCCTGCTGTTGCAAGGGTAAAGAGATCCCCTCCGATCTTGGGCGGTAGAAGTTGGTCGTACGGAGTCCCGCCTCTGGGTCCTTAGTTGAGAAGTTTGTCTATTTATTTTCCGAAGGGCATCAATTTCAGTGACCGTACGGATTTGTTTGCTTTTGTCGCTAATCTCTTGTTGCGACGACATAGTGCATCATACCTTGTCCAGTGATGGTTTTGTTGTTGGCCGTTTGGTAAAAGAAAATACAAGTGTTCTTTTTGTTCGACTAGAATCCATGGATCACAGAAGGCGCTTCGGGTCAT